AGTTGAATTTTGTGTAACCTTACTGCATAAATCACTTTACTTAGGAAAATCTATTTGTAATGGTTAAAAGTGGTCTATTTGACCCTAAAAGTGGTCAAATGTAACCATACAGGTAAGATGGAAAGTAGTATAGTAGGATTACCCAAAAATTGCTTTCCGTATCCTAAATTTAAGTCTATTTTCAAGTTATACAATAATCACAATTTTTATTGTACAAAAATTGAATGTTTTCTGTATCCTAAATTTAAGCTGTATAAAGATCACACAAAAATTGAACATTTTCTATATCCTAAATTTAAGTTGTACAAAAATTGCATACTTTTAATATGCTTTGAAAAACTTCATAGCTATTTTTATCCAAAAATCTGCAATAATTGTACAATTTCCACACAGACTTGAACAAATATTGTACAAAAATTGGATGATTTTTTTTCATAGGGGCGAGAAAAAAAATATTTATTTATATAGCATCAAACACAGCCACATCATGGATCACGTGCCCGAGCTTCTTTTTGTTGGTTAACGCTGGGGAAAATGCATTTTCTTGATATGTTTATTATTATATCTTTCGTAAGTTTATATTGAATAATTTATTTTTAATTATATTTTACTATGATATAATTCAACATATAATAAATTTTGTTTAAATTCCGTTAAACTCAAAAACAGCTGAACTTAAAGATAAATATCAAAAACAACATATTAGATAACTTGAAATCTTTCTATTATAAATAAATAATAAAAGAAAATTTTTTTTTACCTGATTATTTTTTAAGTAAAATTTCAACATTTGGTCGATTAGCATGATGCAATTTCTAAACAAGGACTAAACCAAGGGCTGGTTAGTGGTTACTTCATGAACCATGATATAAATTTTATAAATTTTTTATTTGTACATAAATTGTGTCTAAATAAAATTAACGTTAGAAAGAAGCGTAAGTCACATGCTTTGTTTACGTTATACGAATTTCATTATCTCGTTACTCGTTACCAAAAGAATATATTTACAAATTTTAAAGAGAATATATTAGTATGGATAAGTGCAATATAGAAATATTTATATTACCCTGCAGCGGCCGATGATCATGCTTATAATTATGAAAAACATCTAGTTTATTTATAGCTTAATGAAAAAAATTGGCACTAAAAAAGCGTAATCCATTTAGCTATAAGGTAATAGCTAATATCATTTTATTATTACATACATCACCAATAAACTGTGTAACTTTAGATTAGGGATTTCAATTCCGATATTTATTAAGACACGTGATCTATTTTCAATAAACTGATCGCCAAAAAAAAATTTTTCCTTTCCAAAAGTAGTGTGATACTGAAAAATTAACATGAAAATATTATATATATTAATGAAGCTAACAATATAAGTTAATAAGCTTTATATGTGGTGATCTTTGTAGGAAAAATCAATGTTCAATTTGAGCAAAAACTTTTCATTATTTTACAATTCATAATAAAAATTCCAATAATCGATCTAAAATCATTTTTTGCATCACAACAAAACGAAAATAATATGATTTTTGCTATACATAGCATCGATATTTAAAAATTTAAAATCAATAAAATTACTGATAGTTTAACTTCATTAATTTTTCTAATAATTTTTAACGAAATAAATGTTAGTTACACGTGAATTATAGAGTAGTATATATTTATAGGCAATTATTCAATTATTAGTACAAAATTCATATAATGATATCATAATTCCATACGTATTTGGTAACAAGATCTTTGATACACATTTTTGCATAGTAACCAACTATCTTGAGCTTATTTTTGTAATATGATAATTTGGGCTAATTTTATTCGAATATTTTGTTCGCAATTTGTAACACGGTATTGTTAACCGCAAGAAATAATTTTCGATAGAATTATTTATAAATTACAATTTGTAGCATATTTATTCGACAAGAAATTTTTTTTTTGAAGTTCCAAGG